GAGAAGGCACAGCCAGAGGACTGGAGCTGGCCGTTGCTAGGATCCAGATGATGGGGTAGAGAAGGAGATGGATTTGAAGTTGGCACCCTCCAGTGTTTGCTCCGAGGTGATGAGGAAATGTGACAGCAGAGCAGACATTCCACCAAGAAGCCTGGCTGTGAAGATGTGGGGCTGGTGGCCAGGGGATTGTTTTGGCGGAGGTGGGTTTTGTTTTTGTTTTTAAGGAAGTAAGGGTCTTGGGTTATGGGAGCGAGAAGTAGAAGATACCAGGGAAGAGGATTGGCGCATGGCAGAGTGATGTCCTAAGAAGGCGGGAGGGGTTAGAGTTCAAAGGGGGAGGGATTGACCCTGGAGAAGGACCCAAGAATACTGGTAAGAAAGGAAGAGGGGGGTCTGGCCCCGTGGCCAAGTGGTTAAGTTCTTGCACTCTGCTTTAGTGGCCCAGGGTTTCTCTGGTTCGGATCCTGGGAGCGGACCTGGCACCACTCATCAAGCATGCTGAGGTGGCGGCCCGCATAGCAGAGCCAGAAGGACCTACAACTAGAATATACAACCACGTACTGGGGGGCTCTGGGGAGAAGAAGAAAAAAGAAGATAGGCAACAGATGTTAGCTCAGTTGCCAATCTTTAAAAAAAAAAAAGAATGCAAGGGGGGCACTGGCAGGACATTAAGAGAGGGGTTTCAGACTGTGAGGTAGGAGGGGAGAGGGTATCTGGTGAGTAGGGGTGGGATGAGGCGAGTTTTGTAGAGAGCAAAGCAAGTGAAATTAGATGGGGAGAGAGGCACCCGCCGGGTGAATGCAGGTGAGCGCGTGCTGTTGCTGTGAGCGCCCAGGTGAGGCTGGAGACTGCAGTTTTGTGATGACATCACTCTGGGCAAGCCTGGGAGCCTTTCTTCCCCTAAGATCTGCATGGCCTCCCATCATCCCACCCCTGTGCTTAAGCCCTCAACTCAGGAATGGCCCTCGGATTAGAGAAGTGACAGGTGCCCCATGAGAAATCAGAGTTTCCTGGGTCGAACTTCATATGGTCTATCCTCAGTGAGAACATTGGAACATATTCCTTGCGGTGGCCTCTGGAATGACAGTGGCACCTTATTTTCAGAGGCAGCTGGGTTCAGGCTCAACCTGGAAGAAGTTACTGGGGTCGGGCTGGAGGAAAGGCAGACAGTGAGTTTATTTTTAAACCCAAGTGGGCACTACAGCTGCCAGGGAGAAGCAGACGGCCCTTGGGGGGAATAGAGATTGGCAGCTGGTCAGACACTTGTCAGGAAGCCTATAGGCTGCCAAGTGGGCAGGGGTTCAGGTGGCTGAAGGCCAGGACTATGGCATGAGGGGTCGGGGTGGGGGGTGAGGAGAGCAGCAGTTAACACTTTGGAGCCCAACTGAAGCACTGCCCAGAAGACGGTGGGGGCTTGAGGACTGAGCCCAGTGGGCCAGGCTCCCCCGGGGCAGGATGGAGCCAGTGAGCATACTAACCTCTGCTGTCGTCCCTTCACTCCGGGCGTGGGTCAGGCTTGGTCTGGATTTGTGGTCAGATGGATCATGGGAATAGTTTTGTGCAAGAACAAAGGGCAGTCAAGCATTAGGGGTGTTCTGTAAGCATTCTGGGAGGCCGAGTGGCACCTTGTCCCCTATGGCAGACCTGGAATGCAGTATGTGCCCAAGGGGAAGGCTCTCGGTGGTGCTCTGCATGGAAGACGTTATCTGTGGCTTCATGGCCTCATCAACCTCTTCCCAAAGGTTCAGGTGACAATGAACCCTCTTGAGGACTCCCGCATCATTGCACGGGCTGCCAGTGCTCCTTTCAGGAGTTGTCACCACGGTTGGTCTCCAGGTTGTAATATCTTAGACCTCTTAAGGGACACGATAGCAAGAGCTTGAGTCATGGCACGGACTGACGGTTCTTTCCCTCCTTTGCTTTCAACACCAAAATGCTTGAAGTCCCCATGAATGCCAAGGCCAAGGCTGGGGCTGCAGAGGCGTTCTGGGTTTGGCTGGACATCCTCAGAGACCTGTGTGAGCGTGGTGTGTGGATCTCACTCCCTTAAAGGTATCTGTGGCTTCGCAAGAAACAAGAATGAATCTCCACCTTTACAGGGCAAAAGTGGAAGCTCAAGCCATCACCGAGAGCCCTTGCCAGCAAAGTCCTTGCGTCAGGAAGAGGCTTCCTCAGCACCAGGCCTCAGGGCCCGGCTGCCGCTCTCTCCCCTCCTGGACCTTCTGAAAAGATTGATGGAAATCTTAACGTTACCAACAGCAAGTTCTCGGGAGCCAGAGCCACTTCAGGGCAGGACACAGCTAGGTCTCTCACTCTAGGTTGAGTTAAAATTCCCCAATCCTGGGCTGGCCCCGTGGCGCAGCGGTTAAGTGTGCACATTCCGCTTTGGCAGCCTGGGGTTCACTGATTCGGATCCCAGGTGTGGACATGGCACAGCGTGGCACGCCATGCTGTGGTAGGTGTCCCACATATAAAGTAGAGGAAGATGGGCACAGATGCTAGCTCAGGGCCAGTCTTCCTCAGCAAAAAGAGGAGGATTGGCAGCAGTTAGCTCAGGGCTAATCTTCCTTAAAAAAAAAATTCCCCAATCCTGCCAAAATCATCCTAGCTCCTCTCTTGCCTTCCAGAAAGGTATATATAGGTTCCCTCTGACCTTTAATGAGGTTTTTGTCTGCTGCAGCTGATCCAAGTCTTTCCTGCTGTTTCCTCTCTTCTGTCCTTGCCTTATTTCAAAGTTTCCTGCGTTTAGATATTGCTACTTAATTAATAGCATCAGTTACTGTCTACACCTATGCTATCCAATATGATAGCCACCAGCCACTTGTGGCTATTGAGCACTTGAGATGTGGCTCATCCAAACTGAGATGTGCTTTAAGTGCAAAATACACTCCTGATTGCAAAGACATAGTGTAAAAAACAACCCCCAAACAAACGAAAAAACCAATGTAGCATCTCGGTGATTATTTTATGTTGATTACATGTTGAAATGAGAACATTTTGGATATAATGAATTTAATAAGATGTGTTAACTTGTTTACTTTTTTAATGAGGCTACTAAAAAATTTAAAAATACTACACATATGTAGCTTGTGTTTGTGGGCCACATTCTATTCTGCTGGACAGCACTGGTCTAAACACCAGGAAGAGCCATAATGAATTATGATCATTCCTTCAAGTCAACAAGTAGGCTCTGAGCACCCGCGAGGGACAGAGTGGGCTTTGTGATCACCAGTCTTCATCCTGGCCACCTTCACCTCGTGAGGGCATGGAGCGCCCACAATTAGCCTGAACAAATAGAACTGGAAATTGCAATCTGCACCCATGATGGCCCCGGAAATCCTGGGCAGGTGAGTGCCGGGGAGGGGAGGGTGACTCAGAGACAGCCTGGGGTGGGGATCTTATCAAAGGATTTTCTCCTTTTGAAAAAACATATACCTGGGAATCCCTTGGAATAGGTAGCCTTCACAGTAAATTTCAAATTTCTGCTTCTACTCGGCACTCTAGGAGCTGCTCTGCCAGAACTGCCTGTGACATGTTCTGAAGTCAAAGTAAGTATTTTTCAGATTGTCTGTTTGGACCAGATCTGATGTTCCATGCTAGCCGACACCGCCCTCCGCCTGGGCAGATGGGCGGTGCACCAGCATCAGAGGGCAGCCCACTGGGCAGAGGGCTTGGGCCACCTCCCCGGCACTCCCATTGCCACCCCGTGCCTGCGCTGCTCTGCGGCCTCCTGCAGCTCTGTGCACCCACGCAGGTAACATCTGCAGCTCCAGGGTTCAGCCTGAGGCTGAGAGGCAGGTGTCAAGAGTGGCTGTGCACTGATCTTCAAGAGCCAAGTGCTGAGCCTCACCAGTGCTCTCTGCAATCTCCTGCCAGAAGCCACACTTTTCACTACCTGAGGGGTCAGCTTATGACACATCAGATGGAGTCTGAAGGTCACAACAGACTGGGAACTGAGAAGCAAGTGAGCACGGGGATGGAAGAGCTGAGAGGCAGGATCAATGAAGAAAGTGAAAAATAGGGTTTCCAGCCCACAGCAAAGAAGAGGGCAAGCCTAGACTTCAGGTCAGGAGAGGTTGGAGAGTGACTGTAGCTGGGCTGCCTCGCCCACGAACCCACAGCCGACAGGAGGAAGCTGACTGTCAACTGTCTGCCGTTTTGGGGGGAGACCGGAGGTAGGTGTTTCAGATGTTCTGGGGAACTGAGATGCCGGATAGGGTGGGACCAGGAATCTAGACTCTCACTGCACAGCAGCCGAGGTGGTCCTGGGAGTCCTGCCCGTTTGGGAACGGGGCTGTCATCCTGGGGCTCCTAGCTGCTCATTGTCCCCAGGCCCTTTCCGTCTGCCGCTATTTCTTGCTCCCATTATCTCCTCTCTACCCTTCCATTCCTTCATTCCCTGCCCCCACCTCTCTCCTCTTATCTTTTCCCTGAACAAGCAGGACTTCAAGAGCCGGATACCTCCAGGTCCGAAGCTTCCCTCCAGGGATGAGAATAATAGGTTCCTGGCTCAGACTGGGCCTCCGGCTGGGAGGAGCACTTGGCCTTGGCCTTGCTCAGTCCCTTCCTGCCCCAAGCACGACAGCAGGGAGCAGAGGTGAGACAACAGCAAATTCTCCGCAGGCCCAAGAGCACCGCGCCCTTGGCACCGGATTTCTGGAATCTCTTGGGAGGTGAGGAGAGGCTACCCTGGCTTCAACCATAAAAGGGAAGCTGGGTCTCCTGCTTTTTGGCAAGATGCTTTCCCGCTCACCTCCATTCTGCTCTGCTGAAGCCAGGAGGGCAGTTATGTTTGCTAGAAGAGCCGAGGGGTGGAAGGGCCAGGCCCACACCCAGTCAGTGCCTGATTCCTGGCCGTGAATGGAAGCCCCTTCCTCCCGGAGCCCTGTCCTGTGTACTCACTTCCCGTGTTCTGTCTCATCCTGCTCCCTGCAGGGCCAGGAGGACAGGGAAGGGTCCTGGGTCACAGTGCAGTCATTTACAGAAAAGAGAGACACAGGTTGGTTTGAGCTCCATGGAAGCCCCAGGACATGATCTTTAATTGATGCGCCTGTCCCTGCCTTCCCACCCCAAGCCCCAGATGACATATTTACAGGATGCTGTATGGAGCCAGTTCCAGGCCCAGGCCAGTGCAGCCTCCACTCCTCCCTGGGCGCTGCCAGGGCGGGCACTCCTAGGGTGGGGCAGGAGGATGCAGACAGCTGGGAGCCACGTGGACTGGTCACAGGAAGTCTAGCATTGTCCACATCCTCACTCCCACCCCCATGTACGTGCACACAGACGTGCCCGTGTGCAGAACTGTTCACACTTGTATGATTTGGATCCAAGTGCTTGTGCCAGATGCATCGCCACCTGTGTGCACGTGTGTACCACCAGAGGATGCCTTAAGGTTATCGCAGCAATAGTGCAAAACCCAGCCCTTACCCTCCTGCCCCTGCCCCAGCCTGTGGGACCAGTGGAGCAGGACTGGCCAGAGGGGTGGCCCACCTACCCCCGCTTGTTGGGCAGTGCCAGCTGGAGCTCAGTATTGAGGACCCCACTGTAGCCGCATCCGGCCACCTAAAAGGGTGTCAATGGGTCTCAGCCCCTGGTTTGCCCTGAGGGGTGGTACAGTTAAACAGGGAGCTGTTTCCTCCATGATTCTTCCTCAGAGATGCCCCAGAAACAGAGGGACTGAAACAGGCAGCTCAAAGGCCCTGGGGTGTTCAGAAACCCCTGCTCAGTGCTGGTGGGGTATCTCTGAGGGGAGGGGCTCCGTTCATTTGTGGCTTTCATCCATAAGGTAGCTGGACCCCCATCTTGCCCCTGCAGCTGGTTTTCAGCAGTTGAGGAGCCAGGGCTCCTGTCCCAAGCAAGGGTCATGAGGGAGGGAAGGCCATGGACAGGACTGCGGGAGGATTGAGGAATTCAGCCTGGCTCTCAGGCTGGGCTGCAGGGGGATCAGAGGACGTAATGGGGACAACTGTAAACTTACTACTCGGCCCTGGAATGGGGTAAGGAGCGGAATGGTGTGACTGGGCCTTGAGGACTTTTCTAGAAGCTGAGGATCATACATGAGACCTGCCTTTTTCTACCTCCTCTTGCACATCACAGGCAGAGCCCCTAACTCTCCAGGCACTGGGCCACTCCTGGCCTTCCTACTTGGGAGAGTCCTTCCTGGGAAGATGGCCCAGCCTGGGACCTCTAGGCACGCCAGAGGGCACCTAAACCCTGAGTCAGCCCCAGAATCACCCTTCTTGAAAGGGGGAAGGTGCCATTTTATTTCAGGGACTATGTTTTCTAGACCCCCAAATACATGCGTCCTGGTAGGGACAGCACGACAGTCATTTTGGAATTGAAGACAATCTGGGACACGTGGTCACCATGCCCATGACCCAGGCCTTGGGCACGGAACAGGCAGCTTTGGTTTGAATCAGCACTCGGACTTTTCTCCAAGCTCAGCAGGGCTGGGCGGAAGAGGCAAGCAGGGATGCCTGGCCCCTGTCTGGCTTGGGGACGTCTGTGTTCAGGGAGAGGGTTCTAGGGTGCTCATCCCAGGGGAGGGCCCAGGGGACGGCCATGCCTCCGTTCCTCTGGGCCCTCCTGCAAATGTCAAAAGATCCCCACAAGTGCCCTGGCCCCAGCACCCCCATGGTTACATTCATCACATAAAGATTCAGTAAGAAAAAAATGCAGATGTCGGTCCCCTCCCCCTAAGTCCCAGAGAGCGAAAACCCTGGTCCCAGCTGCCTGGTTTTGTGAGGGGCCATCCCAGGCATGTCCGCTGGTGGCCACCTGCCCCACTGGGGCATCCCTCTAGCCGCAGCCCCCCCCCCCCCCCCCCCCCGACTTGAGCTGTGGCAATCTGTGATGATGGAAGTTACATTCACACAGGGAGAGTTGGTGTTCAAGGCCAAAGCCACATGAGGTGGGGTGGGGGACCATGAGGGAAATGCCCTCCAGGCCTGGTCCACCCTGGTGGTGTGAAGGGCAGGGCCACAGTCGCCCCCCCCCCCGCCCCCCAACCCAACCCCCTGTGGGGCCAGGAGTTGAAGGGCTTGGGCCCGGAAGACATTTGCATGGTGCCTCCCTCTGTGGCTGGGCAGGGGCAGCCTCGTGGTTCAGGGTGGAGACGGTGGGTGCCAGGCTCGGAGGGAGGGGGGGTGGCACTTAGGCCCCTCCGGACCTGGAACGGAGAGGGGGCATCGAGGGAGACTTTGAGGCAGGGCCCAGGGGGAGAGCCCCTGAGCCGGGCCCTGGGAGGTCAGGGCTGGGCCCTGGAGGCAGCAAATCACAGGCTGGCCAGGGAGGGGATCTGGCAGGAGGTCAGACAGCGGTGACATGGAAGACAAAACAGATGGGACACAGAAGTAGGCTCCCTTCCCAGGGGACAGGGGCTGTGGGGGGCACAGCTCCAGGGTCCACCTGGCCAGGGTGATCTGGCCTTAGGCAGGGTAGGAGTAAATGGACCAGGCCTGAGGAGATGCGCAGCTAGAGAAGGGGGCAAGGGCGGCTGAGAACTTTCTTCCCAGAGTGAGTTCTCCCACCCCGGTAGTGACAGCAGTGACAGTGCGGGTAGGAGAATCACCCCCTAGCTCCCCATTAACAGAATGCGAGGTGACGAATGAGATGGAGGAGACAGGGACAGCGGGAGGGATGACGTGGCCGGCGTCACACTGCCCCCTGCTGGGTCGGGTCGTACCTTCCTCGGCGGATGTTTCTTCAGGAGCCGAGGAGAGGAGAGGCAGAGAAAGGAAAAGGAGCCATCTGTGACCTTCCCCTTCTCTCAGGCAGGGGCCTTCTGGCTCCCAGGAGACTCCTTGCCCCAGAGATGGGCCCGGGGCCTGGACACTAATGACAGGCCCAGGGAGAGACATCGAGAAGACCTCCTGAAGTTGGGGGCTGGGTCTGAGTCCTGACTCCACAACTGACACACTGTAAGACCCTGGGCCTCAGGTCCCTCCTTGCACATTTCGGGGTTAGACGAGCTCCAGGGCCCCAGACACGGAACACCCTAGGCTGGGTGGGGCCTAGGGACAGGGGATGCAGGCCCTGTCTCAGGCAGCCCTGCTCAGCTCCCCTCTGTGGCTGTGCTGGGAGGCAGTGAGGCACAGGGGCGCCTGATCCGCTTACTTTTCAAGAGAAGCTGGAAATCAGGATTCTTAATGTAAACTCTCCTGTTTCTAAATGTGAGCAAGCAATTTTTTAAATGTTAAAACAGGACCCCGTGGGCTGACTTGGACTGTCATGTGTGAGCTCTGGTTTAGCTAACCTCTCAGGGAGGCCCCCTTAGCTCCACCAGACTGGGGTTCTGATAACCCCCGAGGATGCCAGGGGGTGTGTGGTGGTGGGGGGGGTGTCTCTTACTTAAATCCCCAGCCCGTGCCGCCTAGGACGATGGCTGCAACCAGGACAGCCCCGGCGATGGAGCCAATGATGATGTTGGTGCCGCTGGGACCTAGGGAGGAGGGCAGGGCTCAGTTGGTAGGTTGGCAGGCACAGGCATGGAGAACAGGAAGGATAGAGCCCACCCTGGCCAGCCGCAGCCTCACCCTTATATCTCTCGGTCTCCCCTGTGGGTGGAGACGTGGGCAGGGGGTTGTGGATACTGCAGTCTTTGCCCGTCCAGTCTGGCTGACAGATGCACTTCCCTTCATTGCTGCAGACCTACAGGTGGGGCGGGGCCAGCAGAGGTGAGCAGGACCCTGTCTCCTCTTGCTAGGCCCTCCTACCATCCCTGGCCTCCAGGCACCCACCCCATGGTGGGAGCAGATGCGGCGTTCCCCGCTGCCAGGGCAGGTGCTGAAGTTGAAGGCAGAGGCTGGCAGGCAGCGATGATCCAGGCACAGCATGTTGGGCCCACAGGCTGTGCCGTCCTCCACGTAGCTCAGGTCTGAGCCATCAGCCAGCTGCACATGACCACCCCTGGGGAAATGGCACTGCTAGCCTCGGCCCTTGCCCCCCACCCCATCACAGCTGCAACTTCCCCTTCCCCAGCCATGGTCCTTGGCCAACACCTGCAGTCCAGCTCCTTGCCCTGGTGGTAGAAGGTGACACTGCTGATGTCCCCTCCTAGGTCCCCCAGCCGAGGAGCTCCAGAGATGTTGACACAGAGGAGGAAGCCACAGAGCACGTCCCTGTGGGGCCGCATGGAAACAGTGAGCCCCAAGTCTGACCTCAGACCCAGCTATTGAACTTGAATCTGCCCTCTCCCCATCCCCTGATTTTTCATGTATTCTCCCATTTGAGACTCAAAGGCTCGTCCTGGGAGAACCTGCTGCTCTATCTCCGAAAAAACCCTCCCTAGCCCCAGAGCTGGGGAGGCCCAACCAGGAGCCTTGGCAACTCACTGTTTATTGCACTGGACCCAGCCTGACCCCTTGCGCCCGCAGTTCCCACGCTCTGTCCCCTCCACGTTCAGCTTCTCATAGCAGAATCGATCAGCAGCCGCTATAAGGAGATGATGCCAGGTGTCACTCCCCTCACCCCAGAGCCCACCTGGACCCAACACTGGCCCGACCCCCAGTCAAGCTGGGTCCTGAGATCCTGGGGAGCCACACAGTTGCTGGAGGGCATATTCAGAACCTGCCCAGTCTCTCAATTCTGGGTCCTCCAGAGTCCCCCCTCCCATCCCTAGCCAAAGACTGACCATGGCCCCAAAGGGCTTGGCACTGCTGGTCCCGGGTTTTGCAGCGACCTCCGTAGCAGCGGCCCTAAGGGACAAACAGCAGACAAGGGACTGAGACACTGAGTGGTCAGAATGGAGACCAGACAGACTGTACTGAGACAGGCCCCGAGGGGAGGAGCCCACACGCCATCATACCTGTTCATGATCACAGTAGTAACCGTCCAGCTTGTGCAGGTTAGGGGGACACTGCGGAAAGAGGGGCTGGACTGAGCAGAGCAGCCCCAGGAAGGAATGAAGGGGTGTCAAATGCCCCCCATGTAGGGGCTCATGTGACAGGGCTCTTCCATGTCAAGTACAAGAGGTCTGGCTTGGATCTTAGACCATGCAGACTGGCAAGTGCCATAGGCTCCCCAGTCTCCCTGTTCCCCTAATCTGCTTCACAGGGCTGGGGAACTACACACCTGGCACAAATAAGGACTTAAGAGATGTTAACTAGTATTACCACTCTGATCCCTAGCACACGGCAGGCACTACACCAGGCGCTGGGAACACCAGCCAGACTATAAATAATGGTTTAATGATTGAAGGTGCAAAGCCAAGAGGCATGAAGAACCCTCTTTTCAGATGAGGAAACAGGCTGATGAGCGGCGGCGACGCCAGCAGCGAAGCAGAGGGGCCCGGAGAACAGTCGCCCGAAAGCCAAACCGATAGGCATAGGGGTTGCCCCGCCCCACGCTCCGCAGGGCGGCCGGCCGGCCGGACCTGGCTCGAGTCCCCGGTGCAGGTTTCCGCGATGTCGCACTCGTTCACTGCCTCTCGACAGGACACTCCCCGCGGCTCGTACTGGGAAAAGGATGCGTTCCCAGGGCTCAGGCAGGAACCGTGGACCCGGGGGCTGCCCGCTGCAGCCGACTCAGAGCCCCCGAGGCCCGCTCACCGCCCCGTCCCCCGCGTCTCCGCAGGGGCCCCGCCCCGCTCCTTGTAGCCCCGCCTCCAACAGGCCCAGGGCCGCACGCCCCGCCGTTCCCCTCCGCATTGGGGCTTTCTTCCGGTCAAGCCCCACTCCTCCAGATTAGCTCCGCCTCCAGCGGCTCCTCCCTAAGTCCCGCCCCGCATCAGAACTTCAGTAGCCCCGGTCCCTGCAGGTCGCGCTTCCTTGCCTCTCCAGCGGCGGGTCCCCCTCACCTTGCAGCGGCGACAGCAGAGCCCGTCGCTGCACATGGCGTCATGAGTGAGGGTGCATTTCTTGCAACAGTTCCCGCCCGCGCGGCTGCACTCCTGAGAGAGGCGGGGAGAAAGGGAGGGAGGCAGGCGAGCCCGCATCCTGCCCACCCGGGCCCACCCTCGAGGGCACTGGTGTCTCCTGCACCCCACCTGGCGCCCACAGTAATTACTTACTTGCACCGAGCCGCAGTCGCACTCCTCTCCCGCCTCCACGAAGCCGTTCCCGCACTCAGGCGGGTCCAGGAGCTGGACGGGCAAAGGGGTGTCGGGAGTCTGGTCAAGATCCTGCGCAAGCCCCGCTCCCACCTTCCCCGCCCCGGGGCTGGTACCTTGAGGGGCTTGTTGAAGAGGCAGCTCCCGCCGCCCTCCTGCAGAAACTGGTTGTACTCGTCGATGCTGCAGCGCGAGAACTTGCGGGGCAGGTAGAACCTGGGCAGGGGTAAGGGGACGGTGCCGCTGGGGCCCGGCTCGTGCCCTCCCCTCCGGCACACTCCCTCGCCCCTTCTCAAGATTGGGGATGGGATGCAACGGGGAACTCGGTCACCATCTCGAGGAGGCTGAGAATCTATGTACCCGGAGACTGCACGAGGATCGTCCCGCCTGCCCATCAAGCGGGAGTGGGCGGGGGACTTCTCTCCGGCGCCCTCTCCAAAGCTGGAGTCGGAGGCTGGGGCGCCGAGGAGAGAAGGCGCCTTCAAACGAGGCTTTGGCGGCCCCCAGTGGCGACAGAGCGCACTACAGTCTGGCCAGCGTTGGTGTCCGGCAGGGGAATCTGGGACTCCCTGTGCAGTGTCCGCTGAAAACTGGGCTTCTTGGAATCCTGAGTGGTCCCGAGATCTGGCTCTCTTGAGGCCACCGGGTCCAGATTGCCACCCAGTGCTCCCTCTAGGACTCCCCTCGCCCAAGACCCTCCCCCAAGAACTCACCCAGTGTCCTCCATGATGCAGCCCAGCCAGTTGTCCGGACACTTGCAGTCCCCTGAGAGGTGAGCCAGGTGGATATAAGGGAGAGTGGAGGATCACCCCTCCCCCCCCCATGGACACCCTCTTCACTTCTAGAGCTGCTGGGTGTGGGTCTGGGCTGGTTGTGGGGCCACACAGGGTCTTCACTGATACCTGCTGAGCTCCGGTGTTTATTCCACATCATGCCCAGGTTCTGCCCCAGCGTCTGGGCCAGGGTCACTGCCATGGCCCCCATGTTGTCATACTTGGGGTGAGGAAGATGGAGCAAAAAGATGTCTACATCCCTCCGAAAGGCACAGGCCCTTTCCCTCCAACCCCCCATCCCAGCCGTGCACCCACGCTGCTCACCTCATTCACACCCCCTCCCCTGGACAGTGAGCAGATGCCCCCCACGTAGGCAGCCCCACTACTGGTGCTCTGGAAAGTCCTGCCCCTGGAAGGGAGAGGGTTGTCAGGAGAAACCCCTGCCCCTCACCCCAGTGGCTCCCCTGGGCCGGGAGGGGGAGACTAGGAGGCCTCCCGTGCTAGAGCCCTTCCTTGGGGAGGTAAGCACTGCCCTTCGTGTCAGCCTGTGTGACCTCAGGCAAGCCCCTTCCCCTCTGTGGGCTCATCTGCCCGTAAGACAAATGAGAGGTTCCAACTGGATCATCTCTAACTGCAAAGACCTTTTATCAGATTTTCCCACCAGGGCACTGGGTCGCTGAGGAAGGGATGTTAGGACAGTGTGAAAGGCGGAGAGGGGGCGAAGGGGAGGGGGTGGGCTGAGGAAGACCACTTGGGGTAGAGAAAAGGGGCATCAGCCCCAGATGCAGGGGAGATGCCAAGCCTGTTGCAAGTGGCTGGGGGCAGGAGCAAGGTGGGCCCAGTCCCCAATCCTCCAAGAGCACCTGGCACAGAGCAGGTGTTCAATAACCCTGTGCACCATGGCAACCAGCAGAGGCTGGCAGGAAGCATGGGGTGGGGGACTCACGAGAAGAGGTGGGTGGCATCACTGGGCTCAGGCAGGCCCTCCCGCCGGTAGACCATGAGCCGGGCCAGGGTCTCCAGGAGGTCATCCTGCACCTGGATCTTGTCCCCATCTGCCCACGTTTCCATGGCAACCAGCACGATGCGGGTATTGAGCTGTTCCTTGTACATCTGGGCCCAGAGGGGAAAAGATGAGGAGGGGGCTGGAAGAGGGGTGTGGGGAGGGGACATGGCTAGAGGAGGGCCTCAGTGTGTCCCTCCAGGAAGTGGGGAGACAGAAGCTGATAGAGCTCACCCCAAGGATGTGTGGGGTGGGCTGTGAGGGGTGGGGGGAGGGGAGGGAGGACTGCTCACCACATCTGCCAGGTTCACCACGGACTTGGCAAAGTTGCTGGTGAGGACCACCGACTGTCGCATCTGCTCAAACTGAGAGAGAGAAGAGTGGTGGAGGGTGAAGCTCGTTCTGACCCCTCCTCTCAGAGTCACCCCCAGCCTGGGAACTTACCAGCTGGTGGTCATTGATCACGATCAGCTCCACGTACTTGGTCTCACTGTGCACTGTAGGGTGGCCCCGGCGGACCTGGAGGGTGGGTGGGCACTTGGAATCAGTCCCCTCCATGCCTGAAGCCATGGACAGGCTCGAGGAAGAGGAGCTGGACCCAGCCAGAGACAGTGCCAGCAGCCCACTGGCCATCCCTCCCCAGCCTTGGTACAAGGGCAGGCGGCCTCAGTCTGTCCACCATGGGGACGTGTGTGGTCACCGATGTTAGGGAATGGGGTGGGGGGCCTCCTTCCAGAGATGGTTCCCCAGCCCCCAGACACACCAGTCTGAGCCCTCCTTTGCCCCAGCCATGGACAGGGGTGTGCTCCTGCTCTGGACCACAGCCTGAGGTCTCTGCAGCCCGAGGTCTGTGCGGGCCCCCGTACCTGCCTTTTCCTTCTCAGCCTCGGCCGGTTCGGAGGAGCAGAATGGGCGGGGGCAGTGAACAGGCAGCCTGAGGGGAGGGGGCAGGTGAGGGAGGCACAACCGGCCCCCTCCCCAGCCCCACTTTCCCTCCCTTACCTGGTTCTCTGCATCCAAGGGGGGCTGGGAGGAGAGGGGTCCGGTAAATGAGGTGGGGAAGGGGTCCCTGCAATGAAGGGGAATTAGTTCTTGGGGGCCAGCCAGGTCTGCTCTGAGCCCAGTTGGGGGGACAGCTCCAGTCCTTCCCCCACCCCACCCCAGGATGACCCAGAACTGGCCAGAGCTCCCATGTCGGATCTGATCTCCCAGATGCTCAGATTCCGGGGTCAAGACCTGGGGGGCGCCATGAGAGATAGGGGCAAAGGACACTGGAGCCCAATGGAAGGTTACCTGGGGGACAGAGGGGACATTGGAGCTGGGGACACAGGGGGAGGGAACCAGAGCTGGGGTCACTGAGGAGGGCAGTGAGGCTGAGGTTACCAAGGGAGGAAGAGGAGGAGGCAGCGACAGCCACTGGGACAACAGCCACTGGGACCTGTGGCAGGGCCATCAGAGAGGACCTGAGGGTCTCACCTGGGGGGCTTCCTGAGGCCTGGCCATCTCTCGGGGCTCCACGACGTAGGTGAAGTTCCCGTCAGAGAAGACCCCACTGCAGAGAGAGAGGCGCAGCTCCCCACCGTCCCCAGGGCCTGGGGCCGGAGGCTTTTCCCGGCCGCCCCGCCTCTCCCCATACTCACTGCAGCCCCTGGCAGGTGGAGAGAGCGGCAAAGGAGCGAGGGTTCCCCCGGAGCTGCCCCTGGTAGTAGCAGTGGTCTCCCGCCCCCTGGAGGAGCCGCAGAGCGTGAGTGGCCCTGCGCCTGCGCCCAGGCGCGAGGGCAGGAGGTCGTTGGAGGGCCGCTGAAGCTACCACGGGTGCAGGTGGCTGCAGTCCCTAGGCATACCCTGGTTCTACTCTAGCTGTGTTCCCCTAATGTGCTGTTTCAATCTGGGCAAATTCCTAGCCCTCTCTGGGCCTCCTTCACCTCACCTCCAAATGAGGAAGTTGGACTACATCAGTGGTTCTTAACCGTTTGTTGGGCTGCTGCAGGGATCAGACTCCTTCAAGAAGAGCTAACGTTCAGAGAGCACCTTCTGCGAGCCAGGCACTCTTCTAAGCACTTAGCTCACGTAGTCAGGTGAACGCCATGTACCCCGCCCTCCACGCGCACAGTGTGTTCACAGACGCCGTGGCCTCCGTGGACCAGCCCTGCACACGGTCTGTGGCTGAGGAACTGTGAGCAGCTGGTGTCCTGCTGGCCCAGCTCTCCGGTCAGAGGGGAACAGCGCCCACCCCTGCTTCCTGCAGAATTACTTGTGCTCCAGTTACTGAACAGGCTGCGGGAGCTATTTATAGACACTCATTCATCTTTGCTCGGCCCTGGGCCTCCAGGGCTGGGCCCCTGGTGTCTTGGGCAGCCAGGAATCCCCATGGCCTTGGTCCTGGGCAAGAGGGGCATTTCCCCAACTGCCCCTCCCAGGAGAGGTGGCAGGAGCGTGAGGGTCCTCAAATGCCTCCGGGCCCGGCAGAGGCCGCTGCGAGGCTGACGTTGGGAGCCGGGCAAGGGCAGCGCAGGGCTCGATGCCATTCGATGTGCCACCCTGACTCCACCCCCGGAGCTCCCAAGGTGGGGAGATGGAGGGTCCTGAGGGGTCGGGCTCATCCCGAGTGTAGAATATACCCTGGACCCCATATCCACCGGCCACCTGTCTCCCCACCCCACCTCCCCCGTCCCCTTCCAAAGGCACTCACGGTGCTGTGCTGGGTTGTCCCCTCCCGGCTGAAATGGCGCTCCACGTATTGTGAGGAGAGGAGGTGACTGAAACAGAGCAGGCGGGAGGCAGGAAGGGGTCACTGATGGGGCTAGGTCAGGTTGGGGGCCCACTGCGGCTCAGCTCCAGGTCCCCTGCCCCAGCCTGGCCCCCTCCCACCCGCAACCAGCCAAGTCCAGGCCCTGCCCTGCCCGCCCGCCTGCTGCCCTTGCTCCCGGGCTCAAGGCCACACTCACTGGTTCAGCTCCAGGTCCAGAGTGAAGTCTGAGTTGAAGGCTGGGATGACGAAACTCACCTGGGCCAGGTGAGCAGGCTGGAGGCAGGGGGAGGGCAGAGGGGCAGTGAGCCCAGGGAGGCCTGGAGGTGGGAATAGGGGAACCGGGGAAAGCCCAGAACAGGGAGTAGCCCTGGCGAGGGGATGGCCCAGTCCAGCAGCCACAGGGACCACTGATTTGGGGGGAAGAGGCTTTGCACAAGTTCATCTTCCTCAGAGAACCTACTCCTTTCCTGGGGACAGTGTGCATCCCTGGGCACAGCGAGCAGCGTAGGGGCAAGTGCCAGCCGCCCCTCCCTGTGCAGGCGCCTCCCTGGGGCCAGTCTACGGGAGCACCAGGGATGGAGAGGGGCAGCTCAGCCTGCCCCCTGCCACAGGCCAGGGCCTCCCTACCTCCCAATCCCCCACCCTCAGGGGGGAGGCCCCCAGAAGCATCATGGGAAAGGGGCAAACAGGAGATGGGGTGCAGTGTGACCCCCAGACCCTGCTGAAGCAGGCCCCTCCCTTCCTGTCCCCCTGTCCTGTCCCCCGCCTCCATTTATGGAGGAGGAGGCCTCGCAGTCTGTGGACGGTGGAGTGCGTTAGAGCTGACCATGGGCCCCTGGAAGCTGGGGTGATGGGCAGAGGCCATCCTTTCGGGAGGAGAGAACTTGGCTCCTCTGCCCCAAGCCCATTGCATCTGCCTCGCCCAAAGCTGCTCATCTTTAATATTTCAATTCCCTAGTTAATTTTTAAACATGGAAGTTTTCCTGATAAATTTTTTAGAGGGGCCTTTGCAGTGGGGCTGGGAGGCTCCAGGTTGCCATGGCAACGTACCAGGCACGAGCAGGAAGGCTGCCCTCCCAGGCCTGGGCACCCAGCTACTGCGGGGAGTGGGGACCCTAGACCTGAAGCTAGTGAGCCTGGAGAGAAAGCAGCCCCATGAGAAGGGGCAGGAGAGAGTCTGGGGGGAATCGGCCTTCTCAGTTCCTGGGTGCCCCCTACAGGCCTCAGGTCTTACCAAAGATCTAGAAGCAGAAAGGCCCAAGGGGGGCTGCAGCCTTCTTCCCAGCCCTGTCCATTCAAGAAGCCTGAAATCCAGACCCCTAGATGAGGCTCCCACCCCCGGGCCGTGCACACATGAGACTTTTGTTTGCTGCCTTTCTTTTCGGGGGAGCAGGTGGCAAGATCCTCAGTGTCACAAGATCCGTAGCCTGGTGCTGGTCGGCTTCCTCATCAGCCACCTAGGATCCTAATTCTTCCTGAGCACTTATTGTGACCCAGGCACTGTTCTACATGCTTTACAAGGATGATCATATCTAATCTTCCCGACAACCCAGTGGGACAGATGCCTCTGTTATCCTTGCCTGACAGATGGAGAAACTGAGGCACAGAGAGGCTAACTAACTTGCCCAAGGTCACACAGCTAAGAAGTGGTGGAGCTGGGATTCAAGCCTATGGAATCAGCTTCCAAGGCCTTCTCCCCGCAAAGGTGAGGTGAGATGGAGATGGCCCAGGGTCCATGAGAGGCCCTGGGAGAGGCAGTGAGGTGAGGCAAGGGGCCAGGGCCTGGGTAGGCAGCCCTCTGAGCCCCAAGGACACTGACTCACCCCATCCCAGGCTGACCAAGGCTCCAAGCTCCATCCTGAGCCCCTAGAACATCGATCAGACTCAAAATAGAAAGTCAAGGACAAAGAGTCATAGCATCTCTCTCCTCCCTGGGCCTGGACCATCTCTGCTTTCCCCGTGCCCCTGGGCCTCGACCAGCTCCACCTCTACCCCTACCCTTGGCCCCAACCACACCTCCTCTCCCTCTCCCCTCCTAACAAGCCCCTATCCTGCCCCCACACTGGCCACCCAGAGGAGCAGCCTGTCCAGGCCCCTTGCCCTGATTCCACTCTCTCAGGCTTTGTAGCCGCAGGGATGATCCAGCAACCTCTCTGAGCCTGACTTTCCCACTGAAAATGGGAAGATGAGGCCGGATGCAAGGCTGTGAGGTTGGCTTGTGCGGCGGGGTCGTGCTGGGCCCGGAGGATTCTGGCACTTGGCCCTGGCGCTTGCAGAATCTCCCTCACTCGGAAGTCAGCGAGCTAACCCCTTGGGCCTCCCCGCTCTGTGTGGACCAAGCTGACCCCCAGTCTGGGGAAAGCCCAGACTGACGGGGGAACAGACACCAGGTCCTCTTTGTCCCCACCACTTCTGCAGCCTGCCAGGGCCTCACCCCCTTCCCAACCTGGTGCCCTGTTCCCCAGCAGGACACAGGGCGCAGGCCAGATAAGACCTGTGCAAGGGCAGCTGCGGGGGCTGGGGAGCCACCAGAGGCGCTGGGAGGAAAGGAGGGCACTGGAGAGCTGGGCAGGTTTGCCTGGCCTGGCCCGATGGGGGGACTCAAGGGGACACCCCCGTCTGAAGGGAAAGAAAGATCAGGCAAACCCACATAGTGCCCAGGAGTTCTGCACCCCAGGCGCCTGGGGATGGGGCTCCCGCTGGCACCAGTCTTAAGACCCGCCCCCAGCCAAGCTTTAGGCCCATGTTCTATCAAAGCCAAACTGCTCTTTGCCTGGCCTGCCCCTGACCTCTCCCATGACCCCTCAGTCCCTCCCTCGGGAGCCCCTTCCGTCCGCTGCCACCTGCCCTCCTCTGCATCCAGCTCAGCACTGCTGGTGACCAGCCAGCCGGGCCTCGACCCTGTGCCCTGCCCTTGCCTCCTGCTCCCCGGCCATCGGCTCTCACGTGCTCCAGCTCATTTGATCTCAACCGCCCCGCCGTCTGGCGCTCACTTTACAAATGTGAGGCTGAGGCTCCCGGAGGGACACTTGGAGGTGACTGGCCCAGGGCCACGCTGGGGAGGTACAGGGTCAAGTCGCACCTTCAGGCTGGAGTCTGTGGTCTGTGTCTGCCATGGCAGCTGTGGCCACCTGGCTGGGGTGACGGTGCCCTCCCTGAGGCCTCCCTGTCGTGGGCCCATCCACTCCTCAGGCATCTGCTTCAGGGGGCTGGGCCTCGCTGGTCCCCTCTGCACCCCATGTCAGGCCCAGCCAGAGACGGGGTGCAGAGGGAAGGAGGCAAAGGTCCCCAGAAGTCCCAGAATCACAAATACAGACGCCAGGCCTCCACCCCAGACCTCCAGGGCCAGTCTTGAGACAGGGAGACTAAAGAGCTGTAGGGTTCCCAGCGCCCCAGAAAATCTGAATGTCCAGACGCTGCCCCTCCGTCACCCCGAATGCCTCCTCCCGAGCCTCCGTCTCCTCCCACGACCCTCCCCTCCTCACCCTCATCTGCGAAGCCGGCACCCACCAACCCACGTGGGGCTGTGGCCACTCACACTCCTGGGCCTTTAGGCCCACTGCTCTTTTCTTTTTTTCAAAAAAAGATTGGCACCTGAGCTAACGTCTGTTACCAACCTTCTTTTTTTTCTTCTTCTTTTCCCCAAAGCCCCCAGTACATATCTGTATGTTCTAGTTGCAGGTCCTTCTGGTTGTGGCATGTGGGACGCCGCATCAGCATGGCTTGACAAGCCGTGCCATGTCTGTGCCCAGGATCCAAACCAGCGAAACCCTGGGCTGCCGAAGCAGAGCGCGCAAACGTAGCCACTCGGCCATGGGGTGGCCCAGCCCACTATTCTTGATGTGGATTTCTTTGATGGCTGATCCAGCTTTTCACATGGGCCACCTGTAGTCCCCTGGAGTAGGGCTCTGCCAGCCTTTGCCCTGCTCAGGGGCTCAACACTCACGTTGAGTGGGAAGGTGTCAGAAGGCCTGAATGAGCTGAGGTTTAACCTCTCTGAGCCTCAGTTTCCCATCGATAAAATGGGCTTGCTGTGAGGATTAAATGAAAGTGCTTTTTAACTTGTTATCAAGCATTAGTAATAATAATAATCAATGAAGAAGGGAGTGTAAATGTTCCACCTAAACAGGGCCTGGAGGAACCGGATAAACCTCACCGGCTGGGTGGCAGCAGGTGGGGAGAAGCCAGAGAGCAGGAACCACCGGGAGGAGCCCCTCCGCCAGCAGCGGACAGGCCGGCGTCCCTCCACTTAGCAGAGCAGCAGGAGCCCCAGAGAGTGAGAAGAGCTGGACGACTTTCCAATAACGGGATTTGACCTAAATTTTTGAGGACAGAGTCACTTCCTACAGGTCATTAGTTCCTCTGGGGACAGACTCTGGGCAGCTGGGTCCCTCCAGGCAGCCAGGAGGGGTGCTCAGGCAGGGCCACAGCCACAGGCCGGAGTCTGGCTGGGGAGCACTCAAGACTCTTGCCCACACTGTCCCTGCACTGACACCGCCAGAGCCTAACAGGTGCCCCCAAACGCCCTGACTCCTGCTTCTGACCCCCAGCGCTCAGGCCAGCACAGGCTGCCCGGCACCCCGCCCAGCACAGGAGGGCGGGCCTCCCAGATGTGGAACATCTACTCTTGCCAGATGACAGGCAGGACACGGGACACACATCCTCTCCTCGACTGGAGCAGCAGCCTGGGTGAGCGGAGACGCTCTCAGCCCCGCTCCCTGGACGAGGAAGGCGGGGTCCGGGGGCTGTGGCGGCTGGCCCAGGGCACTCGGCCCAAAACAGTGCAGCAGGCCCCACTGCGGCAGCCTTGCCCCAAAGCCACCTGGTGTAGCCTTTCAGACCCATGTCTAGCCGCCTGCGTGAACTCACTCTCTGCCCAACCTCGCGGCTCAGTCCACGGCACCCCCGGGCCAGCTGAGCCCCAGCTTCCAGCCCCTCCCAGGGACCCCTCCGCCCTCCGATCCCAGCATGAAGCTGCGACCTTGGCCGCAGAGACCACAGCGTGGCCTTGGCCCTCGTGGGCTTCTGGGGCTTCAGGCACGGACCCTATGGCTCCTGCCTGTGACTGCCATCTTCCTAGGGCTGGGGACTGAGCCTTACCCGACTGTCCCCCACCCCTCGGCAGCCAGAAAACACAAGCCCCGCAGCACACACTCTCAGCTGAGGGCTTCTGGGTAGCATTTCCAGTAACTGCTGGTCTGGGCAGCTCTCAGAGGAGCTCAGCCCAGTGACTGAGGTCCCCTCCCCAAGCTGGCTCAGAGGAGAGTCAGTCTCCTGTGCCTGGGACCCTCCTCCACTCACCCACCCTATTCACTTAACCCTCATCCTGCCCTCCCCTTGGTTCCGAAGGAGTCTGGGTTTCCCCAGGGGCAGGTATGACCCACACAGCAGTTTCGTGTGGATTAGCAAAATGGTCCCTCAGAACACATGCAGCCTCGTGAGCCCACCGGTTTCATTCAGCTCCCTTGCCCAGGCACCTTGTGCAGTGAACAACCAACCCAACTGTACAATGTGGCTCTGCTTGTTCTCCTGCCTCACCCCTCAGCTGAAGCTCCCTGTGACCACAGGTTTCTGCACTTCCAGAAGCTCCTCCACCTCTCTGGGCCTGCTTCCAAGCAGGACAGAGGGGAAATGTTGAGAGCAGTGGCAAAGAGGGCAAAGGGTCCCCTACGCCCCTCTTCACCCTGAGCGAGAGGCAGGCAGTGCACTGGTTAAGAGTGCTGCTCTGGGTATCAATCTTGACTCTGCTACTTAAGTGCTGTGTGACCTGGGGTAGTTACTTCACCTCTCTGTGCCTGTTTCCTCATCTGTAAAATGGGAGTCATAACAGCCCCACCTCCTGGAGCTGTGATGAGCATGACATAAATCAATACGTGTAAAGGCAGAACAGTGCCTGCCCCAGGAAGGGCCCAGTAAATCATAATTTCTCTAGCTTCTAACTTCTGGTCACCTTCCCTCTCCCCCGTCCTCCCCTCACAAAAGTGAGGAGACCTGGGCTCACAAAGCCTTTCCCATCCCGCCTCCTGGGTGAGCGAGGCTGAGATTAATGTTATCATCGCCCTGATGTTGGGGATCAGGAAGCTGGGGCTCAGAGGGGTGACAGGACCAGGCCCAGGCCAGAGCAGGTTAACACCCAAGGCCGCGCCACCCCAGCCCCGTCAGCCAGCATGTGCCTCAGAGTTGCCGCATGACCCACAGCAGATGGAGACCTTGCTGTTGACCCAACCCCTTGCTGGCCTGGGATCCCAATGAAATAACTTCCAGGCGTGCCTGCCAGGGCGGGCCCTCCTGCCGGGACCCTGCGCTGGCTCTACCATCAGCCCCCAGGGCACACGTGCTCCAGGGAGAAATGCCAGGTGGGAGACAGAGCGTTGCAATGTCTCCTTCCGGTCAGGGGGCAATACCCTGGACATGTCTTTTTGTCTCCCTCAGCCTTCCTCCAACTGGCACTGGGTGGGCTTGGTGAGTGCCCTCTGTGCCCAAATCCAGAGTCTCTGGAGGCAGAATGGTGCCGTGGAAAGTGCCCTGGTCTCAGAGAAAATGGCTCCACTGCTTAAGATCCGATTGGCTTTGGGCAAGTTACCTAAACTCTCTGAGCCTCAGTTTGCTCATCCGCAAAATGGGCAGACAAAAGTCACCTGCCTTACAGAGCTGTGAGTATTCCACCTCAGGGGAAACTCAGGGGACAAGGCAGGGCCATGAGTAAGTCCCCTGGGGCAGCTGCAGTGAGGTCCCTGAGAAAGCTCAGTCCCAGAGAGACCCCCACTGGAGAGGACCCACGGAAGCCTCCACTCCCAGCCCTGCCCCCGGGGGCACAATCACGCAGTCACTCACACACACATTGCATGCACACATGCCACACTTACTCAGGACTCAGAGACATCCATCCCTGCACACCCAACCACCCTGCCCAACTGCGCCCATCCTGATGTCCCCACACAGGCACAGGCACTGCCATAGCCCAGAACCCCCCTCTCTTCAGGAAGAACTAGGCTGAAGGAGCACCCCACTTATCAGCCCTACCCGGCCCCCATGCTTTCCCTCATCTCTGTCCTCTGACCCCTGGTGGCATCGCCCCATCCTCCAATCTGCACATCCCCTAAAGCACCAGCCAGGAGTCCCAGCAGTCAGGGGGCGGTCAGCTCCCAGCCAGCACAGCCCTGACGCCCACAGGTCACAGGTGAGGGGGACGCCAGGGAAGAAAGTGGGACTAAGGGCCAAATCCTGCCAGGACACCCCATCTCTGGCCCTGGGATCATCCCTAGTACCCATCTACCACCTCCCAGGGAGCCTGGGCAGGTGCAGAGGGCCGCCTCCACCCCCTCCCCTCCCCCACACCTACCCCCACCCAGGCCTGCCTGCCCGGGACCATTAGCCACCCCCTCCCCCCTGCACACTGCCCTGAGTGATGGTCCATCTATTATGCATGCTGCCTTCCTGCTCCTTTCCATTTCCCGAGTATCCCCCTCCTGCACTCCCCACAGCCCCCTCCGCCGCCTAAGGGCTTTTAACCAAGTACATTAGGCAGGGCCAGATGCCAGTCTGACAGATGTCGGTAACGTTAGCCTCCGTTTCCCTCCTTCCTCCTCCCTGTGCCCAGCCCAATTTACCTCCCACCACTCCCAGCTGCCAAAACTTCCCAGACCTTGGTTGTACCCCTCCTCTGAGTCTCTCCTCTACACCTCCTGTTTCTCCCAGGCCTTTGCCGGCCCGCTGTCCGCCGCCCCCACTGCCTGGCGAACTTTCAGCTTCCAGCTCCTGGAGAGCCGAGGCATGCTGAATGAATATTCCATCTGGGTGATTATTATTCACATGATATTAATTAATTATTAATTGCAATTAATCTCCTTCATTCCTAACCTTCCTCTGGGAGGCAGGAGGGGCCTGGCAGCCAAAAGGGACAGGGGCAGGCAGAGCTGACATCTGTGGGTGAGCTTGGGGCCTCGAACCCCCATCCTCAGCGAGGGCAGGAAGGAGAGCAAGCATTATGAGTGCACAGGGGAAACCGAAGCAGGAGCAAGCACTAAGCTGTTCCATAAGAGTCCACTGAAGGTGGCTGTGGCCAGAACCTGGAGCCCTAACCCCTGACTGGCTCTTAGCTGCTTCTCCCTGCCGCCACTGCCCTACCCAAGCCCCGTTTGAGTAGAACCACTTGCTTTGGCAGGAGAAGAGTGGGGGCTGGCAGAAGGCTGACCACGGCTGGGCATTCGGACCCACTGAGAGCAGGGGAGTCCTATGATGAAGGGAGGGGTGCTGGAGCGGGGCAGGTGGGTGCTTCCACTAGTGGGCTCCAGCACCCACTTGGTGGCCCACCGTACAGAAGGGGAAGCTGCAGGAGCCAGCCACTGGGGAGGCGTCCCAACCCTGGCTGCCCCATGGCCTCCTGGGCCTGCTCCAGACCCCTGGCCTCAGCCCCCAGCCGCACTCACCGGGCCACCCGGTGGCTCCTGGCGGACCCTGGTGTCCAACTGCTGCTTTCGGACCTCTCCCCCAGAGCTCTCCCCTACGAGACGGCTGGGCTCTGTGACCTCAGGGGCTTCTGAGACTCCCAACTGGGGTGAGACCCGCCAGCGCAGAGCTCCGGCAGGACCCCGGATCCCAAGACCTGGGGAGACAAGGCCATAGCTGCAGGCAGATGCCCATCGTGGGGCAAGAGACTTGGGAACGGGTGGGCTCCCCCCATCCCCCACTCTGGTGTGGCCCCTGGAGCCCTGGGGGGATCTGCTGCCTTGCAGAGGGAAGAGCCCGATGGAGAGGGGGCCAGAAGCTTCACTGCCACCCGCCCGTCACGACTGCCCCCCCACCCCCCAATCTGCAGAGACCTGCAGAGTGCACTGGCCGGCGGCAGGGGAATGACCGCGGTCAGGAGGGCCGGATGGGGACAGGTGGGTGCACGCACCCTCCCTCCTCCCCCGCACCCCCATCTCCCGCGCCCTGGACCCGCTGCCACCCCGAGCACTGCAGGAAAACGTGGCTGCAGCAGAAACCGCCGCAAAACCTGGGCAGGGGCGGGGGCAGGGAGGGGGCGCCGGGCCGGGCGGGGGTCACTCACCGGGCGGGGGGAGAAGCGGCAGCAGCAGCAGCAGTGCCGCGAACGCCCAGCGCCGCAGCCGCCTCATGGCTCATAATCCGCCGGGTCCGGGGGCTGCGGCGGCGAGCGGCGCGGGCGGCGGGCGGCGGAGCGGGCGGCGGGCGGGGGCGGGCGGCGCCGCTGCGGGAGCCGCGGGCGGGGGCGCCGGCCGGGCGGGGGGCGGGGGGCGCGGGCGGCGGCGGCTGGGAGGGCGCCCAGCTCAGCGCGCTCCGGCCGCGGCCATCCCGGCGGGGCGGCGGGCCGGGTTAAGAGCAGAGCGGCGAGCACGTGAGCAAGGGCCCGCCCCCGCCCCCCGCGGGCCCCCCCAGCCGGCCGGGCCGGGGCCGCCGCGACGGGAGGACAAAAGAGGCGCCGCCCCGGGGCCCGCCTTCCCGCACCGCCTCGGCCCCCTCAGCAGGTGCAGGGCGGGCACACCCTGTCCCCATCTCGCGGCCCCCTCCTCGGCCACCCTTGACGTGGGCAGCTCCGAGGACCCATCGGTTTGTAGGGGGAGGGAGGCGGGGTACAGAGGGACCCCCGGGCTCTGACCCGGTGATGGCCCGTCTGGGGACCCGCGCGATCGAGGTGCGGGGGCGTGGCTGCCCGGCCGGGTTCGCCCTTCCGGCGTGTGTGCAGGAGGGGGCTGCCCAGACTCAGCCCCGAGCGCCCGGGTCGAAGGCTGTGGGAGCTAGGCAGGCTGGGGGGCGGGGGACGGAACCGAGGGCCCGAGAGTCCTGTTTGGCTCCGCGCCTGTAGGGTGTCTCGCCCACCCGTGGCGGAGCAGGTCACTGCGGAGTCCTCCCACAGCCTCGGTCCAGACTCCTTTCCATCCTGCAGGCTCCTTCTTCTCTGGGCCAAAGATGCCCCTGCCCCCAGGAGGGCTTCAAGGATTGCCGTCACCCAAGCCACCAGGAGGGTTTGGCGTGCCCTCTCTGGGCTGAGTCCCTCACACAGGGCACCCCAGTCCTTGTCCCTAAATAGCATGCAAACTAGCCAGGTCATTTGCATGCCGTTAGCATGCCCTATTTCCGCCTCTCTCATGCCAGCCCAAATCTTGGAGGAGCAGAAGATACCTCTGGAGCCCCCCAGCTTCCCCTCTCCAGTCAGACTAGGTTGCCCTGTCTGCAAATCGCCTGGCCTCCCAAACAACCTCCTCTGTCGTGCCCTCCAGCCCAGCTCTTGCCCTGGGTTCCTGGGCAAGATGCGTCCCCATAATAGGGGCTGAGATCTCTGACTTCTGCTAGGGATCCCAAGAACCAGAAGAGACCTGAGATGGGGGAGAGCATGTTGGGCTCGGGTGCCGCTGGTGAGGCCTTGTCCTGACTTTGTGCCCAAGGTCACAGCATCCTTGCACCACACCGGGAGTGCACAGGTCACCGAGGAGCAGGAGTGGAGGCAGGGAAACCCTTCCTGGGTCCTCTGCTTCCCCAGGAAACCAGGGCCTCTGCCAGGGATGGGGGAGCTGCCTCTGGCTTGTGACAACCCCCACCCCCCATCTCTATTTTAGGCCCAGGAAAAGTGAAAAGGTGATTTCCCGAGAAGCTGACATCAATGCTGGGAACGGGGTGGCTCCCCTCCCCAACTTCCCCCCACTTCAGTCACCTGCCACTCTGGACCCAGATGCTCAGCAAGGCGGAGCCCATTGTTCCCTGACTCTGGAGTCTTCTTGGAAACCTCCTCCATGGTGTAGGGGAGAGAGGGCCCTGGGGAATTAGGACCTACTATGTGATAGTCCCTAGAAACCCACAATTACCCAGGAGGGAGAGATTGTGCTCTTCAGTCTACAGACGGTGAAACTGAGGCTCTGAGAGGTTATGTGAGCGTCCCAAAGTCTCCCACAGCTGGTCAGTTAGAGGTGCATCCCATACTCTAGGGTCCCACTTGTGTCTGGCCACCCCTATCTCCACCTCTGCCTTCTATCTGGGGCCTGGAGGGGACTGGTCCATCTGGTCCATCTATCCCACCCTCCATGCCCCCGTTTGGCACACCTGTCACCACCAGGGTGAATCCATCCTGCCCCACCCACACATGTCGCAGGGCCCTGTCAGTGAGCCCTGATCTGGTGCGCCTCCCAAAAGGATAGGAGGAGTTCATCATTTCACAGTGGAGGCCCTGGGGCTCGGGCCTCCTTGGCTGAGGCACGTTCCTACCACTTCTGTGGCCCTGGTTCCTTGGGTTTCCTGTTGGGGAACCCTTGCTGGCCCCCAGAGTGACTCCTCTCTGGTGGCATTCTGGGCCAGCTCCAGTGGAGGCTCAATCACATGGCCCCACGGCCCCCAGCAGCCCCTTATCTTCCTGGGTTCCCCAGCTCAGAGTGGGCCCAGCTGGACACCTTGGCTCTCCCTTGACCACACCCTACTCCCCAGTCCGAGGCCCCCTTCCTCCATCTTGTCCCCGTGTGTGTGAGCTCTGCTACAAGCTCCACGCCTCTCCCAGGCAGGAAGCTGGCTTCAGTTCCCTCGGCCGCCTTCCTTCCTGAGGTTAGGGGCTGTAGAGACAGCCTTTCCTCAAACTGGGGGCTCCCCGAGGGCAGCAGCTGTCTCTCCCCACAGACTGGGACTTCACAAGAGTAGACATTGTCGCCCCCATCAGACCTAGCCCCTGATAGCAAGGATGGTTTTCTCCTTAGATTGGGGTTCCTGGGGGCAGGACCTGACTCCCGCATCAAACAGGAGGCTCCTGGGGAATCTCAGCCCAACCCCACAGCTATGGCGGCCCGTTTGGTCACTCCTGCCAATCTCTTGTTTCCCCCAGGAGGAGGCCTTGGGGACTCTGGAAATCAGAGGCTGGTGCCACTCCTCCCGCAGTCTTGAGGCCACCCTCAGGGTCACCCTGCTGAGGGAGCTGTTAGGCTCTGGTCCCCCGCCCCAGCCCTCCCTCAGAGCCCCCACCACCAGGAGGCTGAGGCCTCCTTCCCCTTGCAGCTCTTCTTTCCTTTCAGCCAATTCCTTCCTCAAATTTTCCTGCACAGGGGCCAAGCTGGGCTGATGTGGGGCCAAGGCCCAGGTCCAGCAGCTGCAGGTAAGGGAGGGGTGGCGGCTGGCCCGGCCCTGGGCTTGTGTGGTGGGCAGTGATTCCTGCCAACAGAGGCTGTCCAGGCCCCACGCCCGGTCTCCGAGGCCTGCAGCAGAGAGCACGCCACGCAAGGGGGCAGGGGGGTGTGGTCGGTAAGAAGAGCAGGACTCAGGACTCAAGCAACCAGCTGGGGTCTAACCCTAGTTAATGGCTCTGTGACCTTGAGCAGGTCCCCCAACCTCTCTGAGCCTCAGTTTCCCCATCTGTGAAGTCAGGGCTAGAAAAGCCCTCCCTCACAGCGCTGCAGGGGATAAATGAGTGGACAACCTCAAGAGCTCAGAGCAGCACCTGGTGCAGAGGGCTCACTCAACCTGGGCTCGCACTGTCCATGTTGTCCTTACGGTGCCGAGGAGGAAACCAGCTTCCTGGCCCTTCTCCAGGACCCATAGACTCCTTTACGGCTTGGGGGCCTCGGGGCCCTGTCTCCCCAGCACCTGGGGAGGCTGTACCTGGTAACATGATGCTGGGGGACAGGAGAACCAGGGAAAATGCCCACAGCATTGAGACAGGAAGTTCATTCTGCTTCCTCCCAGATCCGCCCCCGCCACCAGTACCCCATCCTTTCCATCAGGAGAGGACCACTCCTTATCAGAATCTCTCCCCAAAGGAAGCCTCATGCTCCTCCCTCTCACTTGTGAGCCGTACTCTCCTTTAAGCTCTGAAGCTCAGAGGCCTCGCCTCAGGGAGGAGTTGGAGGTGCCTGGGGTGTCAGAATCCCCGAGACCCCCATCCTTTGAGAGGTTCCCAGCACACAATGTAGTCATGCCCCAAAAGCCCAATGTGCTGGGGGAGGGAGGGGGCGCCCAGGAGCAGGGCGTCTCACGGAGCCCCTTAGCAGCTTGACCCACAAATGTACACTGGAGATGGGGATGTGGGTCTGAGCCACCACAAGGTGGGAGATCAGTAAAAATAAGCTCTAGTGAAGCGCCTTGGAGGGAGGCCTGGGGGGGGAATTTGCATGTGTGCGGTAATAAGTTACTTTGCTGGGTGTTTACAATGTGCCAAGCACCTCACAAACGTGTGATTCTTGCGACTTCCTAGTGAGGTGGCAACCAATAATAATAGTCTCCATTTTTCAGATTAAGAAAACTGAGTTTGCCAAAGGTCACAAAGTGGCAGGACCCCGATTTGAATTCAGGACTGTGTGGTCTGACGGTTTACACCTCAGGGTTCATGGAGAATATGAAACCTGTGCCTTGAAGAGTGGGGCCTTCTTGCTGTCATCGAGGGGTATTCCAGGTCAGGGACCAGGAGCTAAGTAAGATGCCAGGGCCGGACTGCCCACGGTGGCCAGACGAGTGGCTCAGTCTGGCTGGACAAGGTCTGGGGAAGGAGGTGGTGGGGAGGACAGTCAGCAGGGTGGTGAATTGGAGGACCTGAGACTGGCTGGAGCGGCAGGCGTTAGAAGACGCAGGAGGGATATACGACGAAGCAGGAAGGGGCAGCCGGCCTCGGACCAGGAACAAGGTGGTGGTAAGTCGGTCTGCGGAAGTAGCAGCACGGGAGGGATACAAGGGATTTATTGGAGGTCATGGTATTTTATTATCGGAAGGAAGGACCCTTGAAATCATCTCATCCAAGCTCCTCACTTAAAGATGAGGAAACTGAAGCCCAGGGTAGTGAGGGGACTCACCCAGTCCCCCTGCGAGTTAGTGGCGGCTAGATCGCTGCCTCCCCCCCCCAGCCCAGGTGCAGACTGGAACACAGGAGTCAGGGGCAGGGCTACCAATTCAGGCCACACCTACCGAGAAGAAAAAAGGTCCCAGGCCTGCGTCTGGGGAGGCAGTGAGGGCCAGAGGGCTCACTGGGGCACTGGGAGCTGAAGGAGTGGACATGGCAGAGAAAGGGCAGAGGCTGAGAGGGGGAACGAGGTTAAAGTGGGGCACTGGGAGTGGGGAGCCAGGTTTCAAGAAGGTGGAAAAGGACAAAGAGAACCTGACTTGGGTAATTATCAGGTTATCTGGTGACCCTGGAAGGGACAATCCCAGTGGAGTGCCTCAGGCAGAGCCTCCGCGGAGGTTTGGAAGGGAAGGGCGGTGCAG